ATGCCAGACCGAACTTCCCGACCTCAAATGTTGTGGGCGGGACTAAGTTCGGAATGGCACCCAGGCTACGGGCAAATGCCCTCTATGACAGATTACCAGTCAGAGCCTGACTGAGGGTAAGAGGGTGAGGCTGAGAGTGTGGACTTTCTGGTAAATCCTATTCTAATGTAAAATATAACAGATTACTGGATTAAGGACATTTCTGGTATACTACATGCTATCAAACACAACGATTTTTATTTCCCAAAGATACGGGAGGAGGAGAGGAGAGAAGGGATATTTTAGCTGCCTGAAATAATCCGTACTCCCTCCATAACATGGGAAGAAATTAATTTACCTGCAAATCTTTTACTGTGTTTATTCCTCTATTCATCAGCAACAAACCCTGTGGATTTGGTGACATTTGATCATTATTTGCCAAAGTTATGACAGGATGATATCGGCTTCTTAATAGTCATCAGGTAATGCCTGATCAGTTCTTTCATGGTAACTTCATCATCTAAGTCCTGGAAGATATTTATTTCAATCACAGATAAAACTACTGAGAAACCGTTCTAATAAATATATAATGAGCTGTTTTCAACTTAACCGTTTTGTTTGCTACAGGTGTCCAGGATGGATGGAACCGTGGAGTCGTGTCCCTGCCTGAAGGTCACCCAGAGATCGTTTGGCTCCCAGAACAGTTACAACGACATTACCTTCTACAGACTCAGCATGCCGATAGAGTGCGCCGAATCCAGATCTCCGCCATACGACAGCCTTTTCTCACCGAAGAGGGTAAAGGATCCTACCGTAAAAATCGTTCAGGCCCTTCACTGATCAATGCTCTGATCATCATTAATTTCCAATGTTTTGCTCACCTTTAGATATCCTCATATATTAGCTATTTTCCCCACCTCTGATACAGTGAAGACGTCATGCATGTGGTTTAGATTAGCTTGATGGGCAATTTCACCTTGGCTATAGTTCGATTCACTCTTAAATTCAGTTTATTTATATAGCGCCAATTTACAACACATGTTCCGTATCATCAGCCTAAGTAACAAAGTAGGATGGATCCACAGAGTCCAGATTTTCAGGCCAAATAGTGATCCTTCCTTCCAGTGGTGGACGAAGTACTTCACAGCAGTACTTTAGTAAAAGTATTAAAACTCATAGTCAAATCTTACTCAACTGCAAGTTAAAGTTACTCAGTCAAACATCTACTCAAGTTAAAGTATTCAATTCAGTTTATTTCTATAGCTCAAGTTCACATCATGTCATTTCAAGGCTCTTTCCAGATCACCAGATCATCCAGTCAGATTGAATCAA